CTGTAACTTTGCTACATCCTGTGTAGAAAATGCAGCGATCAGCCATAATGCTATGACACCCGACAGGTGAAGTGAATAACAATGGTTATCTCATTACAATGGCACCTGGAAGTGGTGGGATATATTAGGAAGTGAACATTTTGTCCCAGGTTGGAAGCAGAAAAAAAAATAGATAAGCATAAGGATTTAAGTTACTATGACAAGGGTCACATTTTTATGGTTAGATGACTGGGTACAGAGCAACCCCAAAACTGCAGCTCTTGTGGCATGTTTTCGGTCTGCAGAACACACAGTACATTGCAGTTTGTTGCATATGGGACTGTTAACTGCTTAGTGTGCCCATGTTGACCCGTGTCTACAGCCAAAAGCAGATACAGTGGGCAGGTATCAGAACTGGACCATAGAGCAATGGAAGAAGGTGGCCTGGTCTGATGAATCATGTTTTCTTTTACATCATGTGGATGGTCGGGTGTGTGTGTGTGTTGCTTAACCTGTGGAAGAGATGGCACCAGGATGCACTATGGAAAGACAACAAGCCGGTGGTGGGAGTGAGATGCTGGGAAACATTGGGTCCTACCATTCGTGAGGATGTTAGTATGACACTTACCACCTACCTAAACATCGTTGCAGACCAAGCACACCCTTTCATGGATACTCTATTCCGTGATGGCAGTGGCCTCTTTCAGCAGGATAATGTGCCCTGCCACGCCGCAAAATGGTTCCAGAATAGTTTAAGGAACAACAGCGAGTTTGAGGTGTTGACTTGACCTCCAAAATCTCCGGATCTCAATCTAAACCAGCATCTGTGGGATGCGCTGAAAAACAAGTCCAATCCATGGAGGCCCCACCAAATGCTATTTAAAGGGGGGAAAAAAAGGCCCAGGGACTCTAGTGGTAAAGAAACACATATAGCCCATTCTTAGCTGGGAATGGACGGTGACCAAAGCAGCGCCAGTTAATTTCTGTGTCACTCTGCCCCCATCAGCCTTGTCAGCACATAAGCACTTACTTTAGCATAACTAACTAGCTCCTTGTGCTGCTTCTCCTTTTCCCAGTTTGAGTGCTGCTGTACAGGAAATACAAGAGGCTGATATCTGGCCAAATGCAGATACATTGCTTGAAATAAAAAGGATTTATGAATAGAGATGCATTAACATGTCGGATCTCTGCCTGGAGTGCAGCTTTTATTTAATCATATCGAAACTGTGAAAGTACAACCCTTTTGCTTTTTAATTCAGCACTCATTCATTTATTAAAATAATTTTAACAGAATTATTTACATTTTTTTTTATATATTAAGGATGGGCCTCTTCTATTTAATGAGATCATCCATATCTTCTGCAGCAAGCTAACCCCTTCTTTATTAGTTGAATGTGATTCCTTCATTTCTACCTCCTCCACACTCATTAGAATCCAAAGTCTGATTTTAAGGCCCGAGGACTGGTTATGGGTGCAGAGGGAGTTTCAGGGGTAGCAACGATGAACACATGTTTTTAGAATTGTTTGACTTGCATCCTTAAATTCAAAACAACAGCAAAGTAGATGATTAAAACCCTGCAAACACAGGTCCTACCTGAACAAAGACTTAACGAAACCCTGGGTGTAGGGGGACGCTTCATTACATGACCAGTATAACCAGAAGGGGGGGCAAAAGAAAAGGTTTATTTCTTCAAACCACCATGCCTTCATTCTTCTTAGGCAACCCATGGATATAACTGCAGTAATTGTGCACTGTTCTGGAAGAAATGTGGAGTCTACAAGCAAGTTCTACTACACAGTAAAAAGATTTAGATGGAGGAGCATGTATTGATCTCTTGTAAGCCCTCACGGACAGGACCCTCCTTACCATCTTGTCTTGAATTGTATTGTATTGTAATGTCTTCCCTATATTGTAAAGCGCTGTGCAAACTGTTGGCGCTATATAAATCCTGTATAATAATAAATTATAGCTGGTAACTTTGACTTTGTGTGCAGCTTCCACACTGTTTATTATTCATGCTCTGGGACTTGAGATGCAGTGAGGCAGGTGAGACTGAGTTTTTTACAACAGCAACTCCAGTCTGCTTTCTGAGCTGACATGTGAAAACCACAGTTTGATTCATTTTCCTATAATGATAGGCAGGACAAAACACTTACTTGAAGAGAATTTATTAACCGGAGTAAAGAAAAGAAAAATATTGGATACAGAGAAACCATTGCATCACTTGCTCAACAATTGCAACTAAATCAACCACACAACAAGAGTAAAACCAGTGATGGAAAAACCTGAAGACGACGATCTGGTGGCTGTACCTACAACATTGTTAAACGGGTCTTTTTGTCCTCTACATTTGCAAAACAACATTTTCTGCCATGCAGTGAATTACTGTTACTATATACTGAAAAAAAAGACTGATTTGAGAGACCTAATACTGGTTTTAGTGGAACTTTCTTCAAGGTAGTCCTTTTGCAATAAGAAACTCAAATTCGACTGTTACATTAGAATTTCTATGCCCCTTGACAAGCAGATGAAGGTGCAAGCTCTAACAGCAGCATGAGATACCCTTAGCTTGTTACAAACAGGTAACTACTTTTAATAGCAAGGAAGAGCACTAATACTATTGCTACACCACAGAAAACAAACATTATGAAGGAGAATGCATAAGAGTTGTAGCACAAAGCCTTTAATATCAGTAAATTCTAAAAGGGTTTCATCTTCCTCACAATAGTGCTACTTCCGTTATGCAAGTAGCACATACAACAGTGAAACAACAATGAACAATGGTGCACTGTTGTATCTACCCAAGTGCACAGAGCACCAATATAAGATGTGTGTGTATATATATATATATATATATTCAACAAAGATGGATGACAGCCATATAACATGCTTCGTAATATATATGAGAGCACAATGCATCAACCTATAAACAAGCTTACCTTCCCATGGAAATACCTTCCCATTGGAAATAAAAAGAAAAGTTTTCAAAAGTGTTCTAAAGTAAAAACAATATCTACATGTAACTGGATGTAGTACTACTGTGTGTAGTACTGTGTGTCTACATACGATGAGAAGGCATAATCAAATAACTTAAGAAAAGATGGCAAATATTGGAACCTTTACCATGTACACAATATACAGCTAAAAGGCAGCAACATTACATTTAGAATCAAGCAAGCTAAACTTTCTTCATACATACATGCATTTGTGTGTTATCGCTGCTTTGATTTTAATGAGTTTTGTCCAGCAGATGACAGCAATGTCAAAGCACCTTCCTCCCAAAAAAAAGTGAGCAGTCTTGAGGAGGGAGGATGTACGATTAAAAATAAAAATGGATTATTAAACACTTTCTACAAAGCGCTGCAATATAGTTACATCAATATTTACAAAAATCCGTGGTCCCCTACAAGCTGTTGAACCCAACATGCAGAGCATTGCTTTAGATGTTGGCGAACGTGGCGGGAAGTAAAGTGGTTTTGTGCTACGATCTCGAGGATCACTAGGATTGTGACCTTACACACTGCAACAACTAGCAGACACAAATAATGCGCGCACCATATTCCTGGTTAATGACTGACATTTTCCAGAGAATACAGTTGTTTCATGTAACAGGCTTTGCAAATAGATCTGTGTACAAATGAAGACAGCTAGTATAGGGCCAAGTACGCTTTATTTTACCAATGCATCCAGTGTATTAAGTACAAGAATCTGCCTTATTTCACGATTTGTTGTAAAGTCTTGCTAAACTCAAATCTTATTTGATATCCCTGAATGCCAGTTTTCAGAAAAAGGACAAAACAAAATAGGAATGGTAGATGGCTAAAATAATGGCATTTATAAAAAGAAGGAGAAGTCCCAAATATGCTTTTGTTTTCTGGCGTGAACTGCAAGTCAACCAGTTTTCATAAATGTATTGCACTATAGACTCTTTTACGCACTGCAGCTGAAGGTGGAATTAGACTCCTCTCCTCCTAGGAGACAAAGTCTAGGAACTTCCTTTCCGGCATCTTCTCGTCGGCTTCTTCCAGATTTGAGACCCATCTTTATAGGTCAGACCGGGATGGCGTAACTCTAGCACATGTGTATGGATGTTAATTCGTCCCGGAACCTGGCAAATGTCAAAATGATACACTGAGCTGTGCATGCGTAGCTCAGTGTACAGCGTTAAGATTTTGCTCGGAGGAATGTAAGAATTCTTTCTGCTCGAAAATGTTCTATTGTTACCTAAATTTCCACTTTAAGTGCAATTTTACCTGTGCAGCTCAATCTAACATCTGCACAACTAGGATCTGAGCTTATTCACTCTACAGAGCCCACTAATGTCCACAGCAGTGGTATTTATTGGCACATACAGAATAGCACCCCTTTCACACTATAGTAACACTGGTTTGTAATGCACTACAACAGAACACAATCTGCGCAGAAGGGAATTACTACGTTCACGTCACTGTCATTGAAATAAAAATGAAAACTAAAAATGATCTTTAAAAGAAGAGACTTTGTACTTGTCCTGTAGTCTGATGGCTGATCTGTTGCACAGCAAAACTACCTTAAGAATCTTCTCCCCTGTCAGGCTCTGTGGTTCCTTACACCGGCCCCCCAAGACACTACTGTATTCAGTAGTGACGTAGAGGCAAGCAGGAGCCCCCAGAGAAAACAGAAAGGGATGCATACATCTGACACACACAGGTATTGGATGTGAAAACATTTTCAGGTAGCTTTGTTCTGTTGTAGTCTTTTCTTTTACAGCAGCTTTTTTTTCTCATTTTTTATTTCATATTTCAGAGTCGCTTTTAGTGCGATACCTTGCTGATCTGCTTGTGCACTACAACCTGTAGTAGGTGAACCGAGACCTATGCAAATGTACTAAAACATATCAGTGCAATGGACATTAGGCAGCATGGCGTTGCATCTCGGAAGATACAGCTCAGTGTCCTATGTGCAGTAAGCCTGGAAGAAATATCACTGGCGACTGTTTTCCACACGGATGAGTATTCATAAAATAGGTTGTAGACTTTTTCCTAGGAGCAACAAATAAAAAAAGGCCTTAAAATGAGCCCACATTAGAAAATAAATAGCTTTAGAAATACTACAGCAGAAAGCTAGCACACAAGCAGTGCAGACTTGCTTTGACGCACATGCAAACCATTAGTTTGGAATATCAGGGCTGTTATTACGGTTGCCATATTTGGTGTGTATGATGAGAAGCACAACACCCAAGAAAAAACAGACTGAGCCCACAGTTATGTATGCAATTCCTAAAAACGGATTCTTTCCCCCCATCCACGAAATTGTGCTTAGAATCATTCTCTTTCTTCCATCGAAGCTGAGGACAGGATAATCTGAGAATCGTATAGGAACATCACTTTCAAGGGATAGAAAATGTAAAAAAATAAATATTTACACATGAATTAAAATCAGATGTCTCCTGGATTACATAACATGAGCCATAGAGACCAACCAGAAGCACATTTTGGAAAGTTAGGTAAGATGAAAAGACCATGTACAAGTTATAAAAAAGAAACAAGATTTTTTTGAACTTACCTTAAAATCTATTTTCTTGGAATCCAATGAGGGAAACCCTATATGTTTACTATAGTTTACTGTAGAGCACTTCCTGTTCATTCATACCGAGTGGAATTTATCAAAACTGGAGCAGTTGACCATAGTAACCAGTTTTTCTCTCCAGTTTGTTCAGTTAAGATTTGAACATGAAAGAGAGCAGCTGATTGGTTGCAGTGCACAGCTGCTTCAGATTTTGATACTTTTTTTTTTTACAAGCAGTCAGCGATCACTGTTCGCTGACTGCTTGTACCCGCTCTCCATCCTGACTTGCCGTCACAGGAGGCTGAACGAGAGGAGAGCTCGGTCTCCTGTGACAGCTGACTCTTCCCCCGTACTGCCGGCTTGGCCACCTGTGACAGCTGCCCCTGCCACCACACAGCTCTCCTGATCTGTCACAGGAGGCTGAGCGGCTCACAGTGCTCTCCTCCCTGCCCGGCCGCCTGAACTTTTCTCTCCTCCCCACTGTGGATGGTGCGCTGTGTCAGAGGGGACACATAGCAGCGCCTAGCGGGGAGGAGAGAAACCAGGCATGCACCGCTATTTCAGCCAAAAGATGGTACTTTCAGTGTGTGTGGCACGCACGCACACCTTGAAAGATCCACTCGTCCTCTCGTCTGTGACGAGAGGACGCCGGAGCCAACCGAGTAGCTTCCCGGCCAGCCATTGTACTGAAATGACCGACTGGGAGCATTACATTCAAGCGAAAGGGCGTCTCTAGAGACGCCCGATCGCTTGTATTAGCAGCAGCTGTCACTGCCGTTGCCGGTCCCGAGATCCACTGTGCCCAGTGCGGCTGGGACCGGCCCAGCTGCTCTGTGACAGGTACTCAAAAGGGAGATCAGTACACGACCTCCCTCTGATCGCCTCTCCGGTCCCCAAATGCAGGAAGTGATGTATATTACATCACTTCCGCATTCTGCTGTCACTCCCCAGCTTCAGAAGCTGGAGAGAAGCTGGTGAAGCAGATCTCTGCTTCATCAGCTTCTCTGGGGGTCCCTAGGTGACAGGGGTCTTGGAGACACCTGATGTCTCCATAAAGAGGACCTGTCATGTAAATTGGCTATCACTTAGGGAGCTTCTTAGCCCCCATGTGATAGCAATAAAGTTAAGTGTAAAAAAAAAAAAAGGTTTTAAGTCCCCCACCCACACACGCAAACATGCGTCGGGTGCACTTAGTGTGCCGCACAACGTCTGAATGTGATCAATAATTTTAGGGCCATTAAAAAGCGTCGCCTATGGCCAATTTTCAATGTGGTAATATATACCACCAAAAGAAAGCTCTATCTGTCCCCAAAAAAATGTTAACATAAATTGCAAGGCTATAGTCCGTGGTGACATTTTTAACTGACTGGTGAGACACCCTAAAATGTTTCAGGGTGTGTGTATATATATGTACACAAAATGAAGGGAAGCACAGAGGAGATATTAAAAGGGAAACAAAAATGGACAGTTTAGGCTTTTATGGACCTTTAATATAACTCTGAACTGTACAGAGTATCAAGTTAAACTGAACTTTTACCATAATTCAACTAAATATGTTAAAAGGGATATAAAAAAAAAAAAGGGGAATATTTATCAAGCAAATTAGCAACACGGATACAAAATAAGGCATCTCATTTAGCAAAGTCTCTGCAACAGGTTTACAGTGTCTTTGCTGTGTGGCACAGCGGATAAAGGTCTCCCAAACCAGTGCTTCCACACAGAGCGAAATGGTCCTTTTCTGCAGCGTGTTGGCAGGGGACAGGCTTTTCTGCTGAGGGTATGGCTTATTTCCAAATAAAATGAACTAAGACTTTGCACACCTTTTCTTATTATGCAAAAGGGAATATATTTAGCCCCTTTAAAATACAAGTACAGTCGTGAGTAAAGAACTTGTTACCATGTGAAATAACGTGCAATCAACCTACCAGCAAGTAGATTCCAATTAAAAGACGGTAAAAGCAGCCATATTTAAAAAAAGGATACTGTACACAATCTGAAGAGTATAATTTCCAGGCTTCAATGCTACTTGTGAAGAATCAGTCTTTTCTATGAGGCCATAAAGCTTTCTGAATGTTGGCAATGCTGCAGTACGCATCCATACAATAAAATCTTCGTTGACGAATCCATTGTTGTCCTGATCTTTAGAATCTAACTCATACACTGGTATCTGCCAATTAATTGGCTTAGTTGTGTCTTCATAAAAAGAAAAAAAAAACATGAACAGTTAGCAACAGTGAGCATGCGAAAATCGCATATATGCAGAAAAATATCCAAATAATTAAAACCAACATGACCATCCACAACATTTCCAGGATAACATGTACCAAAGAGCATAGGGCAGGAGTGGGCAAATAATTTTCTCAAGGGGCTACATGAGAAACGGGGACGGTTGTGAAGGGCTGAACCAAAAGGCTGAACGTAATTCTGCTCAATATTGATTTTATTGCTTTACAAAAAGCAGAACATTATATGGTTTTGCTAATGTCCCCATTAGCATGCCCCCTTGTTTGTCCCCACATACCTTCGCTTACTATTTTATTAGCAGGTCACGAGAGAGGACGGAAGAAGAACTCTTCTGGCCTCCTGTAATGCTGGGGGCAGAGAACACATTTGACATCACTGGTTGGTAGGATCGCTGGCGGTCCTCACAAGCAATGACTGCAGAGGAGGTGGACACCTGTCGTTCCTAGCAATCGACTGAAGAGGGGGCCTGTGCTGGCCTTTGACGCAGTGGATGCACCAGCCTGGGAGGCCAGAACATCCTCTGTCAGCCAGCCATAACTGAGCACTGGGCAGCGATTAAATGTCCGGACAGAACCGCCACTTGGTCTATGTCCAGGCCGGACAGGGAAAGATATGGTCCTGGGACGGTAACATGTCCAGGTCTGGTATAGGGTCATGTTTACAGATAATGTTAAACCTTGCAGAGGGCTCGGAATATAGAAGCAACTGAAGTCTAGTGTATTTTCAGTGAGCATATACTTAAGATTATTTTTGCAATATTTACATAAAACAGTAATATTTGAATAAACATAGGCATTTAGAAAGCATTGTCCTAATATGTAAGCCACTTACAGTCCGGCCAATCGTTTCAATTAAAAGTAGGCCGGAATACATATATGGCTTATTTCGTATGGTAGACAGTTTCAGAACCTGTATCAAATTATAGGTAAATAGTGTATTTCAGACAAGACAAGGTCTGTGAAGATGAGCACAAGGAGCAGATTTTACCTTTAAAGATTTGTTTCAGGTCTGTTGTGTTTCCTGCTGGATTTTTGAATTTTACATTTTTATCAGTCCACCAAGCAATCCCTTTCTTGGTCAATGTAATGGCCTCTTCGCTGCCATTTGTGATTCTTACCAAGCGGAGAGTATCTAAAGCCAAAACGTTATTACAGATTATTAAATTGATGATCAGAAAATTAGCTACAAGCAAATCGTTCCTTTAGTTGCAGTGAAGAACTAACTGAAAAGATAAGACGTCTGCACCAAGTACCAATACCCCAGTCTGGCCAACTTTCACTAAACTGTCTGAAAGTGAACCTTGCGGCAGTAAGCCAGCTTCCATAGCTACACCCAAACTTCCTATTTTATTCCATTTTCTATTCAAAACATCCTAATTAGGCCATCCACATTTTTTTAAGTTGTATTTTTTTTAAAGTTTTTATTTGTATGATTAGCAGACTTAAAATGTGTGATCAAGCTAAATACCTTGCTTGGAAGTCTCTGATACAATCTGTAACTGTCCATCTCACAACCTGTATACCAGGGATAGGCAAACTCTGGCCCTCCAGCTGTGGTGAAAGTATAAATCCTATCATTCATCTGCGACTGGGAGTCATGGTCTGGGTCTTTCAGAGTCCTGCAGTGCCTAATGGGATATGTCAGTGTTTTCCTACCCCTGCTGTATTCACTGGGTGGCATAGTCACCTAACCTCCATTGATACTAAACAGATGCTTCAACATCAGATTATGCAATTACCATCAGCCTCAGAATCCCATCATCAACCAATTGTTACAATCTTTGTTCAAAGCAGCCATTTGGGTGGGGGGGAATTGCATATTCAGCTTTATACAACTCCAATTAAACAAAGAAGCATCCAGAAGACAGTCCTTTGGTGCTGCAACTTCTCCTTATAAGTGGACCTTTAACCCCGTTCACACACACAAAAAAAAAAAAAAAAATTCACATCAGCATCCAGCTCATTATGTTGATATGAAATCATCTAACTTTCATTAGTGAAAAGCTTTTTCTTTTATCTATAAATTACTGGTCTGCCACTTCCTGGATGAGGCACTGAGGATGTAGCCCTGATGTCACAGATGCATCCTGGGAACCCTACAGCACCAGAGCTTTCCTGGGAAAACTCATGTGCAAACTCCTAAACTTTGCGAGATCTCATGGGAAAGACATTTTTTTTCCCCTCAGATCTGCAGTGTCACATATTCCAAGAGGCAGACCCAGAGTTCCAGGAAGTAAATGAAGGTAGATTCAGCTACTGAAAATGGCCACAAGAAGAATGGGGAGAAATAGAAGACTGGTCTGCAAAGAATACAAAGCCGGCAATTATCTATCAGTATGTTTTTGTAGATTGCCATGACTAAACATTTCTAAAGGTGCCTTTGTCGTCCTTTTTAAGAGAAGGGTGATGGTCCTCTTAAGAAAAAAAAAAAAAATGACACTAAAGCAGACTTACCATTGAACATACTGTTTGCGATAGCACCACAAGGAGCAATAGGCATATTGTTACTGGTACGATAAGGATCACATTCTTTGCTGGGATTCTAGAGTGCAAAATGCATTTAGTTAATGGAACAAATATATATCAGGCCTCACATTAAATAAACAAAATACAAGGACATAAAAAGCAAACGTCTGTCTTTCTCAATAGCAGAATTCTTTACTCCCCCCCCCAGAAACCAAAAACTCTAACAATACATTCTACTAATGTCAATGAACAGTCTTAGCAGGCCACTTCCTCTGACGTTTCGGACAATTATTTCCACGCAACAGAATATAGCATCAGAAATCAGCAAGGTCACCGAGCACACATGGAAATGGTGAATACACATGAACAAGCAATCCTTCCAATGAAAGCCAGGCTGTACATTGATCATAAAATATTTAAATCATTAACCAGACTCTTTAAAATTTAAACATCCTATGGAAAACAAGAGCAGCTGAAGTGTAAATAGTAAAATGTACAGTGCAACAGCATTATGTGTATGCTTCAGTTAAAACAGACATGCAGCCTCTTTACTAACAAAATAAACCGAGTTTTTAAACTGGAATGAAAGAAGCACGACACCAGAAAAAGATGAATGGGTCCTTTCAATCTGCCCTTTTTTTTGGACCTTACCATAATTTAAAAAGGTCCATTTCCACCTCGGCAGAGGTATTTAAAAAAAAAAACCATATGTCAGCAATGCACACGGAGTTTACATGAAGCAGGCATATGCAGTTGCTGTACATGTACAAGTGTACATTTTTTGTTAGCTTTCCCTCTTCATATCCTCATGGAAATGGCTTCCCCTCTGAGGACAGTGTATTGTGTGCAAAGACAGAGCTAGTGTTTAGTGATCATGTTACAATGAGTTACAGGGAAAGTCTGGAATGCGAGTCATGAAAGTGTGCACACATATACATCACCACTGCACCTCTACATTACCCCAATAAATGCTAATCCCTTACAAAGGTGGAAATGGACTTTAATGCCCTCCAGAGCACCTGTAGAAAACCTTTCCTGGACCCTGCGGTTGAGGGTCATGTCACACTTATGCTCCAACTTGCCAGTGAAAGGATCACTTGACAGGGCAGATAAAATACTCACTTGCTCCCACTGTGTTGGTTCCCTGCTGGCCAGATGAGCGAGGCATTGCTCCGCTGCTGGCGACTGACATCCTGCACCGTTGACAGTGACGCCTCACTCATCCAGCTAATGAGGGAGAGACACCATGGAAACAAGGGTGTATTTCCTCTGCATTTTAGCTATCCTATTGCTAATGAGAGATCAAAAGTGTGCCATTGGCCCGAGTTTTATTTTCACCTAGGCTGCAGATAAAGACATAAGAAAAACCCTGTCAGTCCCTCCACCCTGTCTTTTTAAACTAGCATACGGCTCTTTTGCAGGTATGGCTGGGAATCACAAGATACAGTAAGTCCCCTACTTATCAACGGGTTCCGTTCCGAGAACACATTCGTAAGTCCAGTTTGTTCTCAAGTCCTACACTGTTAGCCTATTTACCCAGCTACATCACTGCTGCTTTTACACTTGCTTATGGACATCCTGGGCTTGAAATAAAGATACTGTACTATTGTACAGTAAAGTGCACAAAAGCACATGCACCTGACAATGTATGCCAGACACGTGAACTAACAAGTAATCGGACATGCAAACGCATGTTTGCATCTTTGAAAGTTTATAACTTGAATGTTTGTAAGTAGGGGACTTACTGTACAAGATGTCGCCTCTGTTTAAATAAATTCCCAGATGCGTTTCAGCAGACAAAAGAGCTTGCAAACAAAGCTTTCAAATAGACATGTCAAATATCTAAAATGGACCTGAAATTTAGGCCTGCTGCTCTGTGTGCCTCATCAGTGCCTCTGCCCTAAACAGACCTCCACTAAACAGGTAGAAGTGGAAGTGAAGATAACAGCAAATGAGCTGCAGAAGGAACCCACAGCAGCCGGCTGGTATTTTAGAGGCACATGTTCTTTTTGCCACATGGAGCAGTGAGTCTTAAAGGAGAACTATGAGGTGAGTGCTTTTCACTCACCTCATAGTTCTAGCCGACCTGTGACAATGAGACTGTCACATGTCGGCTCAGTAGATCGGGGGGTGAGCGAACACATACCGGCATTCGCTCACTTCACGATCCTGTCACTGCTCTCTGCCGTGACAGGGGAGTGGCTGGATTCCCCCCTCCGATCCTCCTGCGCTGACTGGCGGAACGGACGGGGGAGGGGGCGGGTACAGCTGGCTCTGCCTCTAGATAGGCAGAGCCAGCTGTCAGTCACGCAGCTGGGCGGATACAGACATAATTGTCGGGATCCGCTTCAGCTGCGGCGTCTCAGCATACCACGAGCTGTAGCTCGCGGTATAATGAGCTTAGGGTGACGGGAGGACGCTAGTTTGTGGAGAAGCCCTAACCCCATAGTTCTCCTTTAATGGATAAATGCACTTTGAAACAAAGTGCGCTATCCTTTTTTGGCCACCACCCCTAACCCAAATGATTCCACCCGTCCCCTCCGCAGATACATACTTACCGAGATCCAGCTACAGTTTACACCCAGAACCGCACTGCTCTCTCTGCTACCTGCGCCTGCATTTTACAGCCACATAAACTTCTATGGGGCTGCCCCTCAGCTGGGAGATGGACATGGACAGGAGAAGGAGACTTGCAGCACTGAATGAACAGACAGTGGCCCTTGGATGTTGGTATGGATCATTGGAGGGTGGGATTATTTAGGTCAGGGGAGGGAGCAAAAAAGTATACGTTCACTTTGTGTAAAATTTGACTTTCAGCTCCCCTTTAACTATAGTAGCAGTAATACTAAAACTATTTTAGCAAATTCCAATTTTATTACAAGGATTATAAGGTGTCACGTAATATTCCTCTAAAATATTTTAGATTTTACCATTCAAGAAAACCCTTCAGAAATCACAAAACAAAAACAAAAAAAAACAAACAAAAAAAAGGCAAAAAGGCTTGACTTACAGTTAGGGAATTTTTATCTCCATTCAACTGACTGTCATCTCTAGACTTAACATACCGGCGATGATTCTGGTAGAAGTTAGACAGCCCATAGTACATGAACACATTACTCTGCAAAAAAAAGGCCATTAAGACTGTTTATGAAATATATAGGTAGTCTAAGGATCAGATTAAGTGGAAGAGAGAAAATGTGTCTTAAACATGCTGGTATTTGTCACCTAGATGACAAGCTTCATGTTTGATGAAACAGACTTTACAAAGCATGAGCAAGCAAAACGAGTGTCCATTGTGGCCAATAATTAGAGATACTGACAATGTACTGGAATGTATAGTTCCCAGGGTTTTAGAAAAGTTATAGCACATTAAATGGTAACTTAACATCCTAGCACAGAAAATGTTCTCATACCACTCACACGCATGGATGAGGAACAATGCCAAGTATGCTTTGATGACTTAGGAGGTATCAAAGAGGACATTGGTAGTAGTCTGTTAGCCTATGTTTACATAGGTACTGGATAAATAAAAGAATCCAGAGACCTTGATACTTGGGGGGAATTCTGCACATGCTGTACAACCTCACCCAGCAGACAGGGCTAGTTGAGGTGAGCAGCTTTGCTGCTGGCATCCTCAATGTTGCTTACAACACAACAAAACTATTCCTGATGAAAGCAGAAGTCTTTCCATCCTGGCACCTAGAATACACTTGGCAGTGGTCTGAACCACGCATCAAGTGTCTCCAGGCAAAGTCCATAAGAATGCAGCCTTATGCACATATTGTCTACCGTGATTGAAAAAGGCAAAGAGGAAAATTAATAAGATTGTCCAAGGACAAAACTACATTAAAAAAAAAAAAAATGATTTAGAAAGCCAAGTGAAGCTAAACCTTTTTTCCCTATACTTCTCATTTAGGTCACAGGAGTACATTTACTAATGAACTCCGAGACCCAAAGTCAGCAGATAGTAGGCTTATGAGCTCATGTCAGCAACAGGGAAGAGCCAAACCACGATCAGAAAGGATCCCGACAATATTGTCGCGTTCCACTTGGCTGACTAATTGACTGCTGGCTGTAGGGATGCACCTATATCAATATCGGTATCAGTGCCAATACCGAGCATATTCACTGGTACAAATGCCCCGATACAAGCGCCAATACCGGCCCTTTACATTTTTAAACACGAGCGGCTGCCGTAAGGTAGTCCTTCTACGGCTTGGGATCAGTAACAGAACTACCAGGGTCACAGCTGCAACAAGGCCCTACAAAATAATAAAGTCACCGGCAAACTGAGGAAGGGGCCGCATGGTCCCGAAACGTTGCTAGAGGTGTTTTCACTTGGGTCAATAAACTTATTGACTTGAATAATTGAGAGTGCCGGTGACTTTATTATTTTGTACGTTTTTGATGGAGGCATCCGTTGTTGCTGCTGCATGGGCATTTTCCTGTCAGGAGTGCAATAGAATACTTGGACTTTTGCAAAAAAGCCCTGTCGCTCCACCACTGTCCCAAAATCATTAGTCTGTTTTGTTTTAGAAAAACTGTCACAAACAAAAAAGTATCGGTAATTGGTATCGGTGAGCCAGGGGTGTGAGATTACTATCGCCCGACGCCCGGGACATGCAGTTTCGGGCGCTGGGCGAGTAGTTTTTTTGTACAATTAGCCCTGCTTCAGACAAGCAGAGCTAAATGTACAGCGTGGAGCCGCTCAATTAGTACAAGTAATCTGATCAGATCACTTCTATCAAACGAGCAGTGATGTTGTCTGCTCCCCCCTCGGGGTCTCCCGCTGCTCTGGGGAACCTGGGACCAAAGCACATAAGCTCAGCATACAGTGTAGAGCTGACAAAGAACGTTCGTTCTTGGTCTGCTTTGTGTGATCACTGAGACCGGAGCGCTGTAACGAGGAAGCATGGAGATGGCTTCCCTGCTAATCAGGCGAGTCATTACACATCCTTAAAATCTTCTAAATACAATCAACTTTATTAATATTGTGAGGCCAGAGGTCAAGCACAGACAAGTGCTCTTTAAACATTAGAAAATTTGCTATGAGCCAACAATTCCAATATATAACATTAATAGGAAAGAAGTTACCTCGAATGCAGTATCCAGCGTAAAAGAAATATTACAAGTACACGATATGTTGCTCCATGAAGTATTCAAGCACTTGTGGCATGGGCTATTGGAATCTATCCCAGTGTAGTCAATCTGAAGAAAAAAAAAAGAAGTTGATGTCACCTCTTTGGTGTAAACAGATTTCTGATATAATACCTTACAATAGAAACATGTAAAATGGTTGAGGATATCTGAAAAGATGGAGACCGAGGCAGATTTACTAAAAGGAGCCGAGAATCTTCAAGCAAATTGCAGCTAGGTTCCCTTCGAATAACCGAACACATGCAGGATAAATAAACAGAAATGTGCTTTTTACACATTTGGTTAAGTGAGCATTGGCACGAATTACTGACTGAAGATTCTCAACTCCTTTAGTAAATAAGCCTCGTGACATAAACAAGCAGTTTTTTGGTATGCACCTGATCACATTCCTAGTTCACACCAGAACTGCGTGCGTCTGCACAGGAGCAGTGCGATGCGCTTTGCCGTGATTTTACCACGGTTGACGCTTTTTTGTTGTTGCTTAAAATTGGATTTCCGGTGCATTTCAGTGCCATTGCATGCGCTTTTGATGTGTTCCATTGCGATCAGATGCAGCTAACATAGGGAAAGCAGTATTTCCTCTGACTGCATCGGAACGGACTGCACTGGTGTGAACAGAGCACCGGAAATCCCATAGGAAAGCATTGTGATGCATTTTGGATGCAGCTGCCAAACTGAACGGACTGCATTACAACTTAGGGCTCTTTCACACCACGTATATTGAGCTCCACTGATTATCATTGATCAACACAGAAAACAACTGTGCTCTATGTGCCTTGTTCACACCATACACGTGCGTTGCATAAAAACGCAGCATATCTGCAATGTCACAAAGTGCAAAACACAAAAATGCATTACGATACTCTGCAGCGTATAAAGTTGAATGAAATGTCATTTTGTGACATCTCAAACTTATAAAAAGGAAAAAATGAACACCACATTGCAGCCATCCCTACACAACGCACCTGCCCGACATGAATTGGCCCTTAGAAAAATGTCATCACTTAGGCCGCGTTCACAACGGATACAGTGCGTTCTGTTCAGAACGCACCGAATCGCATTGTGGCCGGCTCAGTATATTATGGGGCAGGAGGGGGCGTGGCGGTCCATTGAAGTGAATGGCAGCCGCAATGTGAACGGCCGCACGGGATCGCAGGGCACATTATCCTGCAGCACGGCCGCCTCCTGCAGCACGGCCGCTTTTGGTAGCATTACATTCACTGATTATTATGGGCAGCCCTTTGGTAATCTTAGGGGCTGTGTTTGAGAAAGTTGGCCACCACTGCTGCTATCTACTAATTTTTAAACAAAATGTTTAGCTGAAGATTTCCTGATGCAGAATTTAATTCCAAGCTTTGATGTGGTAAAAATAAGTATTATGGAAACTCTAGACTACACTTGGCAGCATTACAAAGACCAAACTGCAAATACTGCAAGTATACAATCTTCCAGGAACACAAACAGCAATATGAACAACCATTTTTACTGTGCTTCTCCCCCCGTGGGACCCAAAAGTAAGTCCATACGCGCCAACAGTTAAATGTTATCAGCGATTATTTAAAGAATGTACCAATCCCTCCATTGGATTCTGCTCTCCCAACAAATAACATTCAAAACGCTAACATACAAATCCCCCAGCTACATCACTAACCTCATCTGCAAATATCAACCAAAAATGTCCTCTAAAAGGCTCCCGAGACCTCCTGTTCTCTAGACCAGTTGTCCCCCTTTCCATGCTGGTCTCCAGGACTTCTCTAGAGCCTCTTCCATACTCTGCCGTGCTGCAGGAGACGGTCGCGGCCGTGCTGCAGGTGACAGTTTGGACCGGACCGCAGGCATAATGTGCCCTGCGATCCCGTGCGGTCGTTAATTTAAAAAGAAATTCCACACCACTGACACATATATTAGCCTGTGCTCTTCAGAGAAAGCGACACAGGAGGAGCATTTCCAAATTACCTTGAAAAGACAGTGCAGTAGTGACAAAGCACTTTACAGAGCTGCTGGAAACAATTCTGACCATCAATAAAAAGGAACAGTCAATGGTCTAGACCAGGGCTCAAAATTTCAAGTCCTGAGCTACTAGCCATAGGTTTTTTTTTTTTTACATTGACGTAGCTTCCTTTAAACCAGCAGAAATGGAGCACAGCTGCTGGAGTTAAAGATAAGGAGGGAGAGGGGGCTTAGTAGTAGGTGGTAATGACACACTGACTGTCCGTCCACTGCGGGGGGGAGAGAGGAGGTGAGAGACACCGACTGACGCGAGGGGGGGGCACCGTTGTTGAGGGAAAGAGGGGAGAGACACCGTCCGATGCTGGGGTCCCCTAAAAATGTTCTCGGACAAAAAGGGGTCACGAGTGGAGAAAGTTTAAGAAGGCCTGGTCTAGACCACCAAGGTCTATGGAAAAACTACCTATATAGAACAGTAGAGAAAAGGGTTGTGTTCCTTCCTGGAGATCCGACTGATTACGTCTGCCCTAATTAGATTTACACAATTGCTTGTTACGTCCGATCCGTGACCCAATTAAACTAGTACAAAAAGAAGAGGGTTAACCCGTTAGGAGTTATCTCCTAACAGGTTAACCCTCTTCTTTTTGTACTATATAGAACAGTACCTGCTTTTTGACTCCCGCCACCCAATAAAACACTAACTGGGGGTTATTAGAACTTTGCAACCTTGAGCTGGGGTGGTAAACACAAAAAGTCTAAAAGACAAAGAGCACAGACATCTCAGAAGTGTTTTGGACGCTTGAATCTACCCAGATTGGGCTTTCATTACAATATCCACAAGGTGAAAACATGGGAGTTCTATAGATATCCCGCATGTATCGGTGTGTCGTAAAAACTCTGAGGCCTTGTTCACACCAAACGCGTTCCAGGAGCAGAGCAGTTACAGACCGGATCAAAACTGCGTCCAATGTATTCCAATGGTATTTTGGGCTCTAGTTCACACCGCAGTGTTCAGTTCTAGAGCATGTCAAAAAAACTGCAGCAAGCCCTTTACCTTCTCTGGAACGCATGCAAACACATCAAAAACGCATGCAAACACCCTGGAACGCACTGAAACACTGAATAAGATCACACTGATCAGGATCCAATGTGTACAAGACACTTGCAGCAACATCAGCTAAAGCTCATTGGGGGGGAATAACAACCTGACTGCACAATGTCCGTTTAGTATAGTACAAGGACCTTTCTGGATAGGAGTTGAATAAAATGGTTAGGAAGGCCTTCGTACTACAAAGCAGTTTGTATATCTAAGGGAGATTGTACTATAGGAATAACAAAAAACTGTGTGCACTCACTGGTTTCCCTTGATAAATCAGCACCATAGGTGTCCCTCCCTAGGCCTGCAATAAAGGCCTAAAGGCAAACAGTCACTGAGAATAGCAAATAGTGTTTAGGGATGTACTGGTTGCCAGCGATTCATGAGGGTAGTTGTATTGAGCCGACACATATAATATGGTGGCTCTGACGGGGGCGTGGCCCTGGAAACGCATCAGCCAGCATCCCAGGCGTTCATGGGTAAGGCTGTCACAGCCCAGACAGTGGACATAGCCAATGCCTTTTAGCTGTTGGGCCGAGTGATTGGTCCTTGGATTGACTGAAGTGGCCATCGATCTTTTGCTTTATGAGGTGGCTCTGACGGGGGCGTGGCCCTGGAAACGCATCAGCCATTTTTTCCAGGTGTTCATCAGTAATGCCGTCACAGCCCAGACAGTGGATGGAGCCAATGCCTTTTAGCTGTTGGACTGAGTGATTGATCCTTGGATTGACTGAAGTGGCCATTGATCTTTTGCTTTATGCACTAAAAGCGTTCTTGTTTGTGAGTAATTCATTCTTATATATGTATTGATTCAATAAACGATAGTACACATTTGTGGGGGGCTCTGTATTTTGTATTGTGTACATAGCCGATAGCCTTCTAGGGTCTATGGTCAGTTTTCCACTTCAAACTATAGAAAATCTTTGTTACTCGCCCAATGTTTAGGCTCTGAAAAGGAATCCTTCCCTGAACTTCCCTGCTGCACTGTCTACCTCTGGGTGGGCTGAGTTATGACCCTACATACATAGTCGGCAGGCAGTTCAGTTGGCAGAGGATGCTTTACCAAGGTAACTTGTCGCTTTGCCCATTAAAACCAAACTTTAGTGTCTTAATACTCATATTTCAGCTCTTTCCTTGAGAGAAAAAAATACCTTCCCAAGTTCGGATTGGTTGTTTAGGTCACATTTAGATACACAAGCACCACACAACTTTGATTCTCACCATCTCCAAAAGGCCAAACTGAAAAGTTCTGAAAGGTGATGAAGTAAATCGCTTTTCCAGGATTCAGACTGAACAACGCAGGACGCAGGAAATCCAGAGATGCATGAGCTTCAATAAACTGTGTATACACATGCAAAGCATTATGTTATCATTGGGCTGGACTACCTAGTGGTGAAGAGGAAGCCTGCTGAAGCAAAGAAGGCTCCAGTATTAGAGAAGGAGCAAATAAGAGCAGCCTTGTATGACTGCCACTGTCACAATACCGGAAGCTGATTGGCTGCTGGTTGTTGATTCGAAGATATTCCAACCTGCTCCTTCAATCAGCTGATTGAGGGATGCCAGTGTCGAAATGTCCAACTTGTCGAGACCTCCAACTCCCGTCACTGCGCCTGCGCAGCCACCCAAGAGAAGTATCTACAATCTGCGACAGTGCACCTGCGCAGTCACTTGATGCCACAAGCACCGGCGGGTGTTGGAGAACTCAATCACAATTTCATAGACGCACCTACAGCAAGTGCAGAAGTCAATGGCGATTGCCAAAACTGTGACAGCTGGCAAACGTGCACTAGCGCCATCTCGTCAGAATCTACAACGGACATGACGTCATGAGTTGGAGATCTTGACAAGTGGGGCACTCAGACAGAACACCGGCCGAAAGGGTGCTGACAACAGCACCCACTGTGCGAAGTGTATGGGATACATTGCAAGCCGATTGCTGAACTAGACAAACAAGTGTAACCTGTCTGCTGCTGGGGAGGGGAAGAGAGAGACTATTGTGAAATTAAAGCCCCAGTGTTGTTGGCTCTCAGCTTTTTCGAGCTGGCTGCTAAATTTTGATTAAGATCTGTCCAAACATGCCTAATCTGGTCCCCCTGCAAACTGTGGCCCCCCAAATGGCACAGCATGGATGAATGAATACATTGAAGGCAATCAAAACTGGAGCAGACCAAATCTGGAGCAGCTGTGCATGGCAACCAATCAGCTTCTCTCTTTCATTTTCAAAGCTTAACTGAAGAGAGAAGCTGATTGGTTGCCATGCACAGCTGCTCCAGATTCTGTCTGCTCCAGTTTTGATAAATTCCCCCCATTGTATTCCGACCATGGCGCCGGCCGCTGTAAGAATATTCAAACAGCGCTTGCAGTTGATTGGTTCAGACAACGATTTTCCGAAACATTCCTTCAGCAAAGGTCAATCCAATGATGGACTTCTGTTGGGGGAATAATGTCACCAACACAACCCATTTCAGACAATTCAGCAGGACATTCGATCCGTGTGTACCCAACTTTAGTAAATTCCCCTCAGTGAATGAGAGGACAGTAGGAAAGCATCACAGTATGTGCTTACTCATCTGGGTTGAGTGATACTGGGCTTCATTCAACCATACACATGGAGTTATCTTGTGGCAAAGAAGAGGTACTCAAGCAAGGAGTGTGCTGGGGTGCCAAGACCTGGTTGACATTTGTGTGCCAGGATAACACACACAAGACACTTGCCTTTTTTGCAGACACGCTGTGGTGTCCTTCATTCTTAATGGCACTCCAAATGCATCCACAATAGCACAAAAGTACCATGAGGGGAACTTATCACAAAAGGAGCAGCTGTGCATGGCAACCAATCAGCTTCTCTCTTTCATTTTCACAGCTAATTGGTTGCCATGGGCAACTGCCCCAGATTTTCTCTGGTCCAATTTTGATAAATTCCCCTTATAATGTGGTTTGGTGTGATCATTGCACACTGGGCCTAATGAAATGAATGGGTCGCCCAAACACGCCACATGTAAAATGCGTAAACCCCACATGGATCGTCACACACACACACACACACACACACACACACACACACACACACACACGTGGACCAGGCACTGAATAAATAAAGATTCCGGGCGCTGAATAAAGTGGACCAGGCAAATAAAGATTCAGCAACACATGTGAAATCACACACATTGTCATAGCTCTCAGGTAAGACTGGGGGCTGAAACTCATGATCTGCATTGGTAGATCAGCAGGACAAGGAAGTGACCCAGGAAGTTACACTCACTGACACCAAGTCAGAACAATCAGATATGTGTACTGTACTACTCCTGAATGTCCCCCCTCACCTCAAATTCCCGAATGTTGTTGGAGGTGACGAAGATGCCGATCCCAATGGGGATGAAAATGATCCCGATGACGAAGAAGGCCGGTAGGACGGTCCCGGCGGTGAGGATGGGCTGCCAAGCCGGAAGCCGCTGCTGTTTGAAGGCCGTGTTGTCCGGCTTCTTACTCTTCGCGGCCAAGCCAGGGCCCACACCCGAGTTGTGGTGCCCGTCCTCCTCCTTGTAGTTCATCGCCATGGAGGGGTGTGTGAGCGTTACAGCCGAGAGTCCGTTCGCTGCTGAGGAACACAACAAACCGGCCCTGCCCCCACCTCCTCTACGTCACCACCGGGAGAAACCCAATGCGGAAGAAGGGCTGCTCAGTGCGCCTGCGCCCCAGCTGGACGTTCATTGGACGAAGACGGGCACCTGGGTTTTTCTTTAGTAGGAAAATGAAGTGTTATTATTGAGGTGTGTGATAGTCGGCTGGTTATAACTTATGCAGCAAACGTCAGACGTGTGGGGACTGTTTTTACATATAGTACTTCTCTTTTATTCTATATATAGTAAATTAATTTAAAGCTGAACCCTGGATATAAAAAATTAACTTTAATTAAATTCCTCACTAGCTACAAAGGATATACATTACCACCATTTGCCTTTCCAAACCCAGATATTAGTTTGTGAAAATAGCAGTGACATCTCCACTGTGCTGTAAATGGCCTTGGCAGGAGGACCCACCCACTGCAGGCTGCCTACAGGAGGGGGCGGATACAAGAGCAGTCACCCTGCACAAAGAGAGAGCAGCACTAACTGGTCTTTTTTTACAGGAAGCTCCTGTACAGAGGCAAAGTTTCACACTGTACAGAACTGGAAGAAATTAGAATACACATGACACATGGCTCTTGTATTTAGACATTATTTGCTAATCCCAGAGTTCTGCTTTAGAGACTCTGCCAAAACCCCAAGCACTCTGAAGCACTGTGGCTTGCACTCAGCCACAGGTGTGTTGGACCTCTGTAGTTAGGCCACTGCTTTGACACAGAGAGCAAGATTCCCACTCTGCAGCATGCTGGCAGGGGACAGGTTACGTGGGCTGAGACTGATTTTTTAAAGGGTTAGTTCATAGGTGTTAATAACAAATGAAAAGGTGAACAAACTAACAACACTCTTCTCTTGGACAGTATTGTACTGCAGGAAGTAGTACACTGCTCTCAAAATGGCGAGAAAAAGGCAATTAACAAAGGAAGACAGACACCATTCCAACCCTTAAAAGTGTAGGTGTTTCCTTTAGAGAAATTGCAAAGAAAGCAAAGGTGTCAGTGAATACAGTTTTCATGCACCGCCAAATGGCACTTGGAAACTAGAGGAAACAATGGCAGGAAAAAGTCTAGCAGACCCAAAACACAACAGAATCAGAAGACGGGTTTCTGAGAACAAACAGCTTGTGTGACAAGCAGCTCACAGGACAACAGCTTCAAGCACAGCTTAACACTGATCGAAGTAAGCAAGTCTCAGTTTCAACTGTGAAGAGAAAACTTTGAGCTGCAGGTTTGACAGGTCGAGTGAAGGTAAGAAAGCCATTGCTAAGATGGCAGAATAAGAGAAAGAAGCTTACCTGGGCCACGAAGCACCACCAGTGGACTACTTAGCCATTGCTAAGATGGCAGAATAAGAAAAAGAGGCTTACCTGGGCCGCGAAGCACCACCAGTGGACTACTGAAGACCGATGAATCAGAATTTGAGATCTTTGGTTCATCACACAGGGTTTTTATACGCCGTTGAGTACGGCAAAGAATGGTTACTTGGTGCGTGACACAAACTGTCAAACATGGAGGAGGACGTGTGAAGGCCTGAAGCTCTTTTGCTGGTTCCAAGTCGGTGACTTGCACATGGTGAGCGGCACCCTGAACCAAAACTACTACCAAAGTATTTTGCAGCACCATGCAATACCCTCTGCTGAATACCTAGTTGGCCAGGGGTTCATCCTACAGCAAGATAATGACCCAAAACATACCTCCAGGCTGTGTCAGAACTACCTTAGAAGAAAAGAACAAGACGGTAGGCTTCAAAAGATGGACATGGCCAGCAGTCTCCAGACTTAAACCCCATGGAGCTGGTTTGGGATGAACTGGACAGAAGGGTGAAAGCAAAGCAACCTACCACTTCTGCAACAGTGTTTGGAAGAACTTTCCAGAGCCGTGACAGGATTGAGAAGTGAGCGAACGCCGGTATGTGTTCCCTCACTTCCCGATCTACTGAGCCGACCTGTTACAGTCTCATTGTCACAGGTCGGCTAGAACTATGAGGTGAGTGAAAAGCACTCACCTCATAGTTCTCCTTTAAGTGTGAGACCATTATACTGGCTGGTGCGGGTGGCAGACAATGGTCATCCTTGCAGCTCAGCTCAATGGATACCTTGGGGGGAGAGGGATGAGGAGGCTGCTGTGTGTTAGTTCACATTTCAATTTTTTATTAACACCTCCTACAAATATCAGCACACATTCCACCAGATCTTTGGCGACCTTCTGGGCTGAAAGCGTAGGAACATCTTGGTAAAGAGATGTGTAAGGCAGCAGTGTGGTCCACTTATCCTGCTTTTGCTCTTACAGTGTAATGGGACAGAAACCTACAAATGTTAAAGCACATTCCACCAGATCTTTGGTACTCTCCTGGGCTAAAAGAATGGAAGCTTCGTGACAAGAGACCTCTAAGACAGAAGTGTGGTCTACTAAGCCTGCTGATATGAAACATTACCAAATAGAAACGTTATCAAGCCAGGACCTTATCTTCTGGAGAAAAGTTCTACAGGCTGTTGCCCCACTGTTTTATATGTTTCTTGTTCCTACAATTAATCGTGCTGGTAACAGTATTCCCCTGGTATGGCATTCACACTTCTAGATAGGAATTTGCTGTGCTCCTCTGCTCCATCTAGTGGCCAGAATGTGAACGACATTCGGCCGGATCAGAAAGTTTATAAATCATCCCCTTATTGAGGACTGGTAACTGTCAATGGGGAAAATGGCATGTCAGCATGTGACACTAAATCTGTAAATACTGCTGCTAGTACTTCCAAAGTTTTCTGTCAGGTCCGCCCCTTTGCTCAGTGGGCGGGTGCAATAGCCAGCCTGCTATTGGCTATTGCAATTTCAAATAGGCAATAGAGTCTGGCTATTGCTCCTGGTTGCTTATATTCACCTATTGGCTGCGGAAGCTAGCCGGCAGGTGAATAGGGCACCGGAGGGGGTCGCTTGAGAGTTACTATTAACAACAAAAAACGGTAGACTGGTCCCCGAGACGGAATACCCGCATTAAATGCTCCCTCTCAGCAGCCCCCTCTCGAATTTGCAATAGAATCACCATACATAATCAGAGTTCTATTCTAACACACACACACCACAAATTGTCCCCCCTTCTAAGATCCGACACTTACCATTCCCTGTGAATGCCGGATAACTTGGAGTGTACTGTATCTCTTATTTTTGGAAGTACTATAATTTTGGAGAGGTAGAATATTTTGGGGTAAGCTATTAGATTAACTACTAATATGCTATGTGATATTGCCTGACCTGATTCCACTTTGGAGGATATAAGTTTAATATCTAATATACCTTTCCTCTCTCTCTTTAAAGCCTATTTCTCCTTCCTTTTGCTGATCATCAACTATAACCTGAGAATATTGATATTATTGCACAATGGACAACATTGTATAAATTACCTCTGGGGCAGGGGCGTCCCCAGGCGTGGTGTCACCCCAAGCGCCCGCCGGGTGATACCCCTCTCGGACGTCATCGCGCAAGAGCGACGCCATCACGTGCATAATGATGTCACTTGTGTTTACCTGCCAGCAGCCATCTTGGTGATGGACGCTGGCAAAGAGAGGAGGGGGCGTTCACCCGGCGGGATAAGGTATGCTGCTGGGTCCCTTCCTCTCTTGTGCAGCTGTCGAGCTCTCGGCCCATGTCACCCCCTCTAATGGTGACATCCGGTGCGGGCCGCACTCCCTACACCCCCCTTGTGACATCACTGCTCTGGGGTACATGCCTTGTCTAGGCTAAGGGGATCACCAGACCAGATATTTAGTTTTACTACATCATATGTAACTACTTTCACTCGATTCTGGTTTATGAGGAGGATCTTGTCTGCTCAGTTATAGAGAATGCCCAGTATGTAAATGTAGATTAACGCTACATTAGTTGATCATAAAGGTGTGGTACATATTTAAGATATAATTATATATGTAGTAACAATATGCTTATTAAAATGGATCCATGTTTTGCAATAAGAGAGAATAATTATATTTATTGTGTCAGACTAATATACAAACCGTATATCAAAGTGAAGCTTTGAGCTAGTATTAAAGTGACATTAAACCGTCAGATTTTTTAACATAAAACAATACTGTAATGTGTGCCTTACTGTAATCCATGGTTGTTTCCCTTCTCTTTGCTGCTCTTCCTTTTAAATCTGTATCTGTTCTCATGCTGGGCAGAACTTCTGTTTTGTAGCAGACTGCCTTGTCTCTGAAATGGATACATGGTGTCTGCGTGTAGGTTTGCAACCTGAGCCAGCACTACAGGAAGAGGCACTCAGCTACAAAGGAAAGTTCTCCCCCAGCGCGATGCACTGAAATGGGGGAGCCTGTCCGCCGGCTGAGATAGTATGGGGCCCGCCGGCCGCTGTGAGGAGGGAGCCGCAGAACAAGGAGGCACTGAATACAGCCCTGCAGGCACATCATGGGGCCTCGGACGGCAGTGAGGACCCAGCAAACAGGAAACAGATGAAGACAGAAGACCGTCCAGAAGAGGTAAGGGGGGGGTAAATAATTAATTTAAATAATAATTATTTGTAGCCTAATGTTGTATAAAGTACTGTTGCAGAATGGCACCATCTATAGAGGACTATAAATCTCAGCAGTACTTTATACAGAAATGCTATTGTTATATAAAGTATTGCTGGAATGTGTAGTCCTCTATAGCCTGTGCCATTCTGCATTGCTGTAAATATTAGGGTTGGACCGATATATCGGCCACCAAAAGATATCAGCCGGAAATTGCACTTTTGGCTAAATGCCAAAAGTGCCATTTTTCTGCTGATACATCGGCGCATCCGTGCTTTCTTTCCTCCCCGCTAGGCGCTGCTCTGTGTTCCAGCGGGGAGGAGAGAAAGTGACAGTCGGCCAAGCGCTGCGGAAGGAGAACGCTGTGTTTGTGGTTTTTTTTTGGGGGGGGGGCCAAAAAAAAATCTTGCACCAGGGCCCTTTGTTCCTTAGCTCCGCCACTGAGGAGAGGGCTGTGGAGTTAATGTTTACTATGATTAACCCCGTCTGTGCTGTGCTGGCAGATCTCATTGTC